AGAGATTAATAGAAAAAATTTTTTAAAGAAGTCTTTAAAAAAAAGGCATCAGTTAAAATAAAATTAAAAACAAAAGCATAAAGTGTGAGGCAGACCCTTAAGGCCACTTTGGGCTTTTCCTAGACTTAAGAGACTAGGGCCTGATGAGCTCAGCACATTCTGTTCTAGGATTGTGTTTCTGATGGACTGGAAATACGTGTAGAATGTGTGAAATGAGGGGGCTGTACTCAATCTCTGAAGACCTTTCCAGCTTGGAAATCTATGACCCTTTGACATCATAGCCCTATCTTATAGGCCTGGGACCCTCACTGCTGAGCCCCTCACCGCCCAATAAAATCCACACTCACTCTGCCTTGTTTTTAAAACTGAAATTGAAGACATGGCTCATTGTTGGCGAGGGGCCCTCGGCCCCAGCAATTCCTAGAAGCAGGGTCTGGGGAGGAAGTGTGAGGACGTTTGGTATGTGAGGGGCCTCCAGGGGAGCGGGGGGCTATTATCCTCTAGCAATCATGTTTGGAAAATGTCTCTTCAGAGGGCAGCCCTTTTAAAAGCTTGTCTGTACTCTTGATGCAGGCTTGAACAGGTAATGGAAACCAGATTCCATCTGAACGGTGGTGGTCAGGGACAGCACTGGGAGCTCAGAGGCCAATGTCTAGCCCCCCTCCTTCATTTTATAGAGGAGGGCAAGCCAGGGGAAGTAACTCACACAAGGAACAGGTAACAAGAGTAGAGCCAAACTTCAAATTCTGGGCTTCTGACTTCAAACACAGCCAGCACATTTCCATTGTGCCAGGCTGCCTCCTGAGTTATTGTTGTTGGTATTATTGTTGTTAGGAAGATACATTAGGTGAGGGGCTAGAGCCTAACCAAGATTTATTCCCCACCTTTTATACTCTTGCTCCTTGTCTTTGCCTGAGCTTTCTTGGCTAAGCTCAGTCGCTATCTTCTTTGTAAACTCATCCCTGAGCTGCCCACACGAAAGAGATCTCAACCTCCTCAAACTGTCCCGGAGCCCTTTGTCTGGGTGTGTTGGAATCTCAGAATCTCAGTGTCAGAGGAGACCTCTATGGCCATTCCAGAATCTCCTGTGTAACCTAGTGGTCATTGGTCCTTTAGTGTCTGCTTGAAGACCTACAGTAAGGGAGAAACCATCCCTGAAGCCAGCCCCTTCTATTTTGGGGACAGCTTTGATGGCTAGCTTTTTCATGACATACAGATTAAATGTGTGACCTCTAGCTACTGGCCCTGGTTCTATTCTCTGGGGCTGAGTAGAACAAGTCTGATCTGTCTTCCCTATGCCAACACTTCAAATACTTGGACACAGCCCTCATGCCCTCCCAAGTCTTCAATTCTAAAGGCTACATATCTTCAGTTCCTTCACAGAGATCCTTGACAGATGAGGAAACTGAGTCCCTGAGTGATTTGGCCAGCATCACAAGGGAGTATAAGATGGGATTTGCCCCCCAGAATGTCAAATTCCAGAGCCTCTGACCTTTCCACTACACCCCTGCACCCTGGCAGATCAAGGACCCGCTGCAGCAAGACTGTGCTTAGATTTCACCAGAACACTTGGCAAAGTCTCTCCTGCCATGTTGGCAGATGATATGGAAAGATGTGGATTCGATGATATCCTAGCCATGCAGCCTATTTGGAATGAGCTGGATAGCGAGGCCCAAAAAGATGTAATTAGTGGATCACCTTCAGGTTGGAGGGAACCTCGAGGGGAGTGCCAGGGGAATCCCCTCTATCCTGGCTCTTACTTTTTCATCGGTGTTTTGCATGAAGGAGGCAGAGATGGAAAGCTCATCAGCTTGGCAGGGACCATGATGCAGGAAGGGATAATGTACTGGATGCCAGTAAGGATGAAAACTCCCTCCTCGGGCTAAAATGACGGGCTGAGGTGAAGACAATGGCACTTCTCCTTGGACTGAACCTGGGAGGACTCTTCGATGAGCAAACTCCCTCTACTCATGCAATGTGCAACTGATACAGGGTGTCCCTAGGGTCCTAGGATTGTTTTAAACCATTAAAGCTTATCATCATCAACATTATTATTAAAGCTGAAAACTGCACTGAGACTTTTTGGACACTCGGTCTTACTGGCTCCCAAGCTCAAGATGAGTCCTAGTATGATGTGGCAGCCTCCAAGGCTATGTAAGGTACTCCAGTCTCCAGAGGGAGGGAGATGATCAGTCCTCTGCGTTCTGTCCCAGTCAGGCCCAGCCATAGTGCAGGACCCAGTTTTGGGCACAACATTTTAGGAAAGACAGGATCATGTTCAGGAGAGAGCGACGAGGATGAGGGAGGAAGGAAGGGAGGAAGGGAGGAAGGAAGGAAGGAAGGAAGGAAGGAAGGAAGGAAGGAAGGAAGGAAGGAAGGAAGGAGAAGGAAGGAAGAGAAAGAGGAGGAAGAGGAAAGGAAGGAAGGAAGGAAGGAAGGAAGGAAGGAAGGAAGGGGAAGGAAGGAAGGAAAGATGGAAGGAAAGAAAGGAAGGAAGGAAGGAAGGAAGGAAGGAAGAAGGAAGGAAGGAAGGAAGAGAAAAGGAGAGAGAAGAGAAGGAAGGAAGGAAGGAAGGAAGGAAGGAAGAGAAAGAGAGAGAAAGAGGAAGGAAGGAAGGAAGGAAGGAAGGAAGGAAGGAAGAGAAAGAGAGAGAGAAAGAGGAAGGAAGGAAGGAAGGAAGGAAGGAAGGAAGGAAGGAAGGAAGGAAGGAAGAAGAGAAAGAGAGAGAGAATGAGAAAGGAAGGAAGGAAGGAAGGAAGGAAGGAAGGAAGGAAGGAAGGAAGGAAGGAAAGATGGAAGGAAGGAAGGAAAGAAGGAAGGAAGGAGAAAAGGAGTAAAAAAAGTAAGGAAGGAGTAGGGAAGGGAAGGAAGGAAATGAAAGAAGAAAGGAAAGAAAGAAACAATACTCTATTAACAAAATGAAATAAAATGAAAGTTGAGGGGCTGGGGGTGGGAGAGCAAGACTCCCTGGAAGCTGCTGCAGGCAAACATCCCCATTTGCCGAAGTTCTGGAACAGCAGAGATGAGAAAGGGAAGACTAGGGAGATTTTGGGGAAAAGGAGGGGCTCCCACGGCTATCCATGAGCTGCCCTGGGGGAGCAGGCCAGGAGGAGCCAGGAGCTGCTTCTTACCTTGCCCAAGCCTGGCGCCCGTGATGGCCTCTTTGGCACTCCCAAAGCCCAGCTCCCGGCAGACCACACTGGCCGACACCAGGTTCCACTGGTCATCGCAGATGGTGCCCCACTCCCCGTTCTTGAGCACCTCCACTCGGCCTTCTCCGGTATTGGCACCACCTCTCAGCCGCACCAGGGGTTGCTGGGGAAGAGAAACAGGCTCCTGATGAATGGAGAAGCACCCGGCGGCGCACGGCTGGTCTTGCGGTCTCTCAGGAGACCCGTTGTCTCACTCCCAGCCACCCTCCATCCCTCATCACAACCTGGTTTTGTGCCAGATTCTCTATGGGCCATCTTTCTATCATGCCACCTGCTATGTAACACATTCCAGCTGCAAGGACTCTCTGAGGTCACCAGGCCAAACTCATTTTACAAACGAGAAAACTGAGGCCCAGGAAGCTGGGATTCAAACGCAGGTCCTGTGACTCCAACCGGCCACACCTAGATCTGAAATCTGACTTGTTCACTCACAAGCTGTGTGACTATGGGGAAGTCACTCGATTGCTCTGAGACTCAGTGTCCCCGACTATCAAACTTTCCAACAGTGAGAACTGGCTGAGTGTGGGCTGAGGGCCCCCTCTCCACAGACGTCTGCAGACTGAGCTGGTTGGCTCACTGGACGTGCCAGGCTTCTTCCTCCAGCATGGCACCACTGAGGTGCCTTCCAGCTCTGGAATTCTATCAGCCCTCACTGTCCACTTATTGTAGACATTGTGCTCAGCACTCAGGGAGATACCGACTTAAGGTAAGATGTGCCCTAAAGGAGTTTACAATCTAGGCAGCTGGTGAAGTGAGGGATAGAGTGCTGGCCCTGGAGTCAGGAAGACCTGAGTTCAAAGCCGACCTCAGACACTTTCTAGCTTCGTGACCCTGGGCAAGTCACTTAACCTCAGTTTCCTTAACTGTAAAATGGGAATAATAATAGCATCTACCTACCAGGGCTGTTGTGAAGATCTGAGATAATAATTGTAAAAAAAGAAAAAGTACTTAACACAGTGCCGAGCACATAGTAGGTACTACAAAAATGCTTATTCCCTTTCCTTCTCCCCTAGTTGGTGGGAAAAAAGAGCATACATCCAGATAGTACAGTATAGTGTTAGTGTTAAGGAAGGGCCTGTCACTGGAGGTGTACTCAACAGAAGCTTGGGAGAAAACACAACACAACCCGCTTTCATTGCCTGGGCTCCTGATAGGGTTGGGGGGGAACCTTATCTTTTAAAGGAGGTTGCCTTTAACAGAGGCATGGACCACAGACCATCCATTCTTCCTGGGTCAGTGATAGAGGAGGGGGCTTGGCAAGAATCACAAGACCATGGATTTAGAGCCAGAGGGGTCCTTAGAGGCTGTCAAGGACCAACCCTTCATTTTACAGATAAGGAAACTGAGGCAGAGAGGTTGAGTGGCCAGGGTCACACTAGTGGGTGCCTGAGGGAGGCACCTTGAACCCAGGTCTTCCTGCTTCCAAGTTCAGTGCTCTGCATGGGAGAGGCAGGCTCACGGTAGCTTAGCATGACCAGTGTACCATGACAGTGTGAAGCTGGGCAGAGCTGGTGCTACCCCACTGATGCTACCCTCCAAACTGACTGCCCTTTGTGACTGAAGTCACATGAGTCCCTTTCAGCACATTTGCTGAGCCCCACATCTGCTCTTCTTCCAAATGGTTGAGGGTTACATAAAAACACTCTTAGCTGCTATTAATTATCAATGGAAGGAGCCTAGGAGACCTTTGGCCATTGATGGACTTGCACAGGACTGACGTTTGCTAGAGTTCTCTGGTCACTCAGTCATGACTCATGGAACACAGATGCACAGTCTCCTTCCCACAGTCACACAAATGCCCATGTTTTTGTCCAGGGAGGCTGTGAAAGGAGGTGAGGAGGGCCTTGGTCAATCCAGACCTACAGGAGGCCAGAATGGCCGCTCTCCAATGTCCCATGGCAGGTGAGGTGCTAAATGGGCAGCGGGGAGAGTGGAGTGGGAAAAGAGGGGTCCCTGATACCGGTGGCACTTCTCCAGCATGGATCAGGTATTCCTTGGGAATTCTGAATATGGAGTCAGAAGAGGTGGGTTTGAGTCCAACAAAAAGATTCCTTTGCTAGGTTACTCTGGGCAAGTAGCTCAACCTGTCTGAGCCTGTGGGGATAGCTGCCTTTGTGCACAGTGCCTTAACAATGGAGCCTATTGGTGCCACGAAGGAGAGGCCGTGTGGTATCCTGGGGAGAGAGCCAGTCTCAAAGTCAAGAAGGCCCGAGGCCAAGTCCTGACTCTGATGCATCCTGGCTACAGGACCCTGAGCATGTCACTTAAGCTCAGGCAATACTACGAGACCACAGATTACAGAATAGGTGGTGATCCGTATTAAAAGAAGGAGTTTCCCCATGACCACCAATGATATCACAAGTCTGGTCCATGGGTCCCTTTCCCTCTGCCCTCCCCTCCCAATCTTACCAGTGGTTCAGTCAATAGAGAGGGGGTTTTGATCCTAGGCATCAGTACTTCTCCACTTACCAGCTGTGTGACCCTGGGCAAGTCATTTAACCACTGTTTGCCTCAGTTTCCTCATCTGTAAAATGGGGATAATAACAGTACCTACTTCCCAGGACGGGCTGAGGATTAAATGAGATAACATTAGTAAAGTGCTTAGCACAGTCCCTGGCATACAGTAGGCACAATATAAATACATACTCTCTTTCCCTTCCCCTCCGCTAATATGTTGGCTACAGAACAGAAAATGGCTAGAGACAAGACCCTTGGCTTTCAGTCTTATAGCCTATGGCCTCTTCAGTGCCAAGTCACTGTGGTGGAAAGGACAGAGTGCTGGGCTTGGAGTGAGGAAAACCTGGGTTCAAATCTCACCTCTGACACTAGCTATGGGATCCTGATACAGTCAAGATCCAGCCTCAGTTTCCTCACCTGCAAAATTAGAATAAAAATACCTCCAGCCCCTTAATCCCTGGGTTATAATGAAGTGAGATAATGCATTTAAGATGCCACACAAACTTTGAAGAGCTATTCAAGCATCAGTTATTTATCTAGAACATGGTTTTGGTGTGTCTTTGTCTTGGCTTAGCACAGTGCTTGGAACACAGTAGGCATTTAGTAAATGTTTGCTGATTGAATGATTGATCATATATTTAGAGTTGGAAGGAGCCTTGGAGGACATCCCAGCTACTCCAATCCAATCCAGATTTTACAGATGAAGAAACTGAGGCCCAGAGAGACTTGCCCAAGGTCACATAGGCAGGAAGCCGAAAAGTTGGGGTTTAAGCACTCCAACCATGATGCTCTTTCCCCTACAGTGTCTTGTCTAGGGATATGTAATGGCTTCAACTCAACTGATGTTGAAACCCAGCAAGTGATGGGCCATGGACAATTGGAACAAACAACAACAATCCCAAGCTACCGAAAGGCCTCGTTGATGACAGGCCTTTCGAGACATCGCTCTTTAACACCCTTAGGAGTACAAGGCGCAGTAAGCCGTTCAAAAGTACAGGATGGCAGGAGCCAAGAGCTCTTGGGATGACTACAGAGAGGGTGTCCTCCAGCGCTGGAGGAAGGAGAGAAGTGGGGGTTGGCCTGAGGAAGGACTTTATGCTATCAGACTTCGGTTCTTTGAAGAGTCCATCTCAATGGGTACACACTCAAAGAACATGAACAGATAGTTCTCAAAAGAACTGCCAACTCTGAACAGCCATGTGAAAAATCACTCCAACGCATCAATAACACGAGAAATGTAAATCAAAACAGCTCTGAGGTTTCAGCTCACACCCAACACAAAAGGGGGACTGGGTCATGTTAGAGGGACTGAGGAAATCAGTCTAATTGCTCTGGAAAGCCAGTTGGAATAAATGACACTGAAAAGGAAACCAAAATGGCCATACCCTTTGATCCAGACATATGAAAGACAAAGATGGGTCTCATAAGCCCCAAATATTCATTGCATCACTTCTTGTGGTAGCAAAGATCTGGAGACAAGTCAATGCCCACTGATGGGATAATGGCTAAAGCAAATGTGATTGTGAATGGAATCGATTATTATTGCATGGTAAGAAAAACCACAAGTATGAAGAATTCCAAGAAGAATGGGGAGACATGTACGAACTGACACAGAGCACAGTGAGGAAAACCGGAAAACAAAAATCACAGCAACGGCAACAGTGTTAACAGAATAAAACAAAATGGAACACTGCATAATCATAGAGCATCTAGGTGGCGCCATAGTGCATGGAGCACCAGGCCTGGAGTCAGGAAGACTCATTTTCTTGAGTTCAAATCCAGCCTCAGACACTTAATAGCTGGTTGACTTTGAGCAAGTCACTTAACCCTTTTTGCCTCAATTTCCTTATCTGTAAAATGAGCTGGAGAAGGAAATGGCAAACCACTCCAGTATCTTTGCCAAGAAAACCTCACATGCCATAAATCAGACACACTTGAAAAACAACTCACCAACCGCTTAATCATAATGACCAAGTGTGGCTCCAGAAAGCGGTGAGAAAACTAGGGACATGGGTGTGGAATATTGGACATACTGTCAGGCCAGTTAATGTGTTTGCTGGCTTTAATTAACTGCTTTCTTTTCCCTCTTTCTTTTTAAAGTTTTGTTCCAAGGGATGGCTCCCTAGAGAAAGGAGATGGAAAAGTGAAGTAAGGGTGAAAATAAAAATTTCAATTTTTTAAAAAAGAGCTTTTAGTCTATAGGCTAACAGCTGAAATCTGAGCTGAGAAGGGAGGGCTCTTAAATGGCTCAGAGGAGACACATGGAGTTTAAAGCAGGAAGAAATGTTAGAGGTCATGAGTATAACCCCCTCCTATTAAAGATGAGAAAACCAAAGGCTTTAGAGGTTAAAAAAATTGTCCCTTGGGTCTCACTGATTAGATTCGAGATGAATGATGAGAGTAGAATGAAACTTGGACGAGAATTAGGAGACCCAGATGCTAGCCCCAGCTCTGACAAGAAGTTGAGGGACTTTCCAGAATACCACCATTTGTAGCTGACAAAGAATTCCCTCAGAAATATTGCTATTTCTGCCTAGTTGGGAGCTAGGTGGTGCAGTGGATAGAGGGCCAGGCCCAGAGTCAGGAAGACTCATCTTCTTGAGTTCAAATGCCGCCTCAGACACTGTAAATTGGATGAGCAAGCCAGCTATGCTTCCATCCAATTGACGGGCAAAATTAATCAAATCAGTCAGTCAAACAAACGTGTCCTTCGTGCCTCCGATGTATTAAGAATCACCAATTTAGACTGCAAAATGCCTAGGACAGATCATGGTACACCCCACAAGAGACCTTCTTCCCAGTCTATAGGGACTTTTAATGAGTCTAGTCATTCAATCAACCTTAAACACATCACTGAGGCAATGTCTTGCCATGTTGCCTCAAAGAGCAGGAGAGTCTTTCCCAAATGCTTTGCTGAAAGGATCACAAATATAGAATTTGAGGGGACCTGAGATTCATCAAGTCCAGGCTCTTCAATTGACAGTTGAGGAAAATGAGGCCCAGGGTCTTTGTCGAGGTAAGATCTGAATATGATGTCCATTGTTCTACATTGATTTGTATCCTTAGTTAATTTTTTTAAAGCCCATCCCATCCCACCCCAGTCTCACCACGCCCTCTCTGTTTAAAAAAGAGCCCCATCATTTTCCCGCTAATTTTCTTTTTCCCCATCTTCTGCTAGTTGAGTCTCTGCTTGGTTCCCACCGGGGAGAGGCCTGCTGACTTCACTTTTTGCCTCTCTTATGTCTCGGAGCTAAGCATCCTTCTAGAATGGCACTGAGCTCTGGATTTGGATGGAAGAAATCTGGGGAGGAGGATGCTTAACCCAACCCCGGCCTCAACCAGGAGGGAGAGGAAGGAGCCTGCTGGAAGTTCAGAGTCCTGCACCAAGTCTTTTTCTCCACCACTAACGTCAGAGGCAGGTACCTCAAGGGTAACAAAGAGGGGCCTGCCCCAGGAGGGAGGCTGTGAGCTATTGCTCTTGGGCTACTGGAGGCAGATTCAGGGGATCAGCAGGTGGGTAAGGACAGGGGCCATCGGCATGTGCTCACGTACATCGCAGGAGAGCCTGGATGATGCAGTAAAAGGAGCCCAGGATTTGGGGTCCTGGCTCTGTCCTTCTCATCTGTGAGACCCTGAGCAAGTCCCTTCACATCTTGGGGAGTGTTTTCTCAACTATACAGCGCCAGTGTTGGACCAGATGACCTCAAAGTTCCCTTCCAATCTGAATCTGGCTCTGCCAATCTGTTGGCCCATCATCCCCCCACCACGGTCATCAAGGCGAAGCAGGGGGACCCCCCCCAGCCCCGTGTCCCTCTCACATACATACACAAACATACACACTATACATAGAGTACTCTATGCAGATGTAACTATACCTATGCGTGTATGGATGTTTATTATAGATAATATATACTATGCATGTGTTTATTATACGTAATATTTATGCGTGTATCTATATTTTGTTTGTTGTTCAGTCGCATTCAACTCTTCATGACCCATGGACCATAGGTCGCCATGCCCTTCTCTCCTCCACTATCTCTCAAAATCTGTCCAGGCTCCTCTTCATTGTTTCTGTGACACAATCCATCCATCCCATCCTCTGCCATCTCCTTCTCCTTTTGCCTTCAATATTTCCTAACATCAGGCTCTTTTCCCATGAGTCTTGTCTTCTCATTATGTGGCCAGAGTATTTAAACTTCAGCTTCAGCATTTGACCTGAATAGCCTGAGTTAATTTCTTTAAGTATTGACTGATTTGGTCTCCTTGCTGTCATATATGTGTATGTGTGTGTGTGTGTGTACACACCTATATATCTATGCATATAAAGTGTAGATATATATACATAAAGATAGATATAAAGATATAAAGTATAGATATATGCATAAAGATAGATATGTAAAGATATATAGATATAGATATAAAGTATAGATATATAGATACATATAGATACATAAAGTATTTTGCAAACCTCAGAGTGGTAGATAAATGCCTTCTATTGGTACTTTATGTCATCTTCTCTTCCCTCACTCAGTAAACTCCAGTGGCTCCTATTACCTTGAGGATCTGTTTGGTATTTAAAGCCCTCCCCACCCTGGCTCCCTTATGTTCTGTTCCCCTCCACCTGCTCCATGGTCTATCTCCACTGCCTCCTTCTGTTCCTCCTGGCTCCTGGAGTAGAGTCTTCATACGGTTGGCTGACCCCCTATCTAGATGCTGGTCCTGCCTTACCCCCATCGCTGGACATAATCAGCTTTCTTCAAGACACACCCAGCTCTCTCGCCTTTCCTGCTACTGGTGACTTGCCTCCAAGGTTCTCTTGTATCTGCTTCATTTGTTACTTGTACATAGCTGCATAGGTGCATGTTTTCTCCCCATTGAGGGCAGGTGTTTCTCTTTCGGTTTTATATCCCCAGGACTAGCCCAATGCCTGGTGCAGAATAGGCACTTATTAAACGCTTGTCAATGGATCAATTATTGGTCCCCGGGGCTTCTTTTCCCTCTCTAAGCTGTGCTTTTGTTCCTTTCTAATTGACGTGTGAGCTGAGTCAGCTTTGTATGATCCTAGAGAAGTCCTAAAACAACATCATGCTTGGTGTCAGGGGATCAAAATCACAGAATGGTGGAGCTAGAATAAACCTTAGAGATAATCATAATCATAATAATAACATTTCTATAGCTCTTTTGAGTTTAGCAAAATGTTTTACAATTACCTCATTTGATCACCATAACAACCTAGGAGGTAGATGCTATCATTATTTTCATTTTAAATTTGAGAAAACAGGCAGTGAGAGGCTAAGTGGCTTGCCCAGAGTTGCATAGCCAGTGGGTGTCTGAGGCAAGATTTGAACTCAGGTCTTCCTGCCTCCAGGCTCACTTCTCTATTCCCTGAACCACCCATCTGAATCCCAATGTAGTTCACACACACACACACACACACACACACACACACACACACACACACACACCCATTTTACAGATGGAGAAACTGAGTCCAAAGACCTGTTCCTGACTTGCTGAGCAGTATCAGCAGGGGTTTCCCAAACTACAAACAGACTCCTTTCTTCTCCCTCTAGATTTCTGCTTTAAGCTTCCTGGCTCCCGCTAGTGTTCGGGCTAAATTTCCTTTCTCAGAGCTCCCCCGCAGCCAAGCCCGGAGCTCAGCTCCATTCCAACAGGCTGCCTACAGGCCAGATCACAACAAAAGCAAAGTGTAAAGTCAGCAGGCCCTCTCCCCATGGGAATCGGTAGAGAGTCAGCTGGCACGGGATGGGAGAAAGAACACAGTTGGGGAAAAAATAATGCAAGGGCCTTTTTATGGAGAGGGTATGGTGAGGCTGACGGTAGGGACAGTGTGGGATGGGCTTGTTTTGTTTCAGCTTGACCTCTTTATTTTAAATGATAAAAGGTGGGGATTCCCCAACAGCTGGGCTCAGCAATGTCTTCCGGAGAGTCAAGGAATGGGAGAGACCAGAGACCAGAGGACTTCAGAGCCGGAAGGGACCTTGGACCACAGAACATCAGAGGTGGAAGGACCTTAGAACACAGGGTGGCAGACGGGGAAAAGTTCGTTCTACTGCCACTTCTTTTAATGGCTTCCTTCAAGACTGTGCTCAAATCCTACCTTCTACAGGAGGCCTTTCTGGGTCCTCCCAGCTGCTACTGCCTTCCCCTCCGAGATTACCTTACACAGTGTACATGGATGTACTAATTATTATTATGCTATCCACCCACCCCCACCCCCTACAATGTGAGATCCTTGAGGGCAAAGACTGTCTTTTGCCCTTCTTTGTATCACTGGCTCTTAGCATAGTGCCTAGCACATAGTAGGTACTTAATAAATGTTTAACGGACTAACTTCAAAACACAGAAAAATCAGAACTGGAAGAACCTTAAAAACCTATAAATTGTAGCCAGACAGTACTTTATAACAGAATGGCAGAGCAGGTCTTCAGAGGGCACCAAGTTGGACTTAGAAGGTAGGTGCTATCATTATTTCCATTTTACATTTAAGGAAACTGAGACCCAGAGAAGGTAAGTGACTTGTCCAAGGTCACACAGCTGGTGAGTAGCAAAGCCAAAGTTTGAACTCAGGCCTCCTAATGTTGCCCTGACTGTATATCCAGACAATACAGGTTCATGTTCACCATTCAGGGATATCAGCTCCCAAGGGACAGTCAGGAACTGGATAGCGCTGGGTGCTTTCTGTCCAACTTATTAAGAGCCTGAATGGGTAGTTCCTGGGCCTCCTGCCCCACCCTCCCCAAGTGACCTCATTCCCCCTCCCTGGGCCCCTCCCTCTTAGGGCTCCCCGATGCCTGCCCATGCTTGACACTAAGTGTCTGAACCCAGCTTGATTGTACTGACCTCTGACTTGAAGGCTTTTCCAAAGCCGGTAAGGCTGCCGGGGGCAAAGTCCCGACCTGGCACACAGCTCACCACAGCGGGCATCCCGTTCTCACAGGAGAAATTCTTTACAGGGTCGAAGGCAGCCTGATTGCCCAATTTGCAACTGGAGATGTGGGCCTCATTGCCTGTACAGTCCATAGAGTAGGGCCAGTACCTCTGTTTCCGCCGGCTGGCGTACATCCTGAAGGAGGGGAGAGGGACGGAGTGAGTGGGCTGGGGAGGCTAGGGTAGCAGGAGGGACCTTTGGCCTGGGAAGGTCTCAGGTCATCTCACACAGAGCAGCGAGCCTCTCTCTGGGCTTCAGGTCCCTCCTTTACTAATTCACCAAACATTTATTAAACATCTGCCACACAGGCCAGGAGCTTGCTAGTAAGCAGTGGAGGTCAAAGACTACGAAGAAAATGGCTCCTAAAGGTCGGAATGGTGTTCAAAGAGTTCTGTATTCTAAGCACGCTCTGCATTCTCCATTCTAAGATGCTTCTCTCTTGGGCATTCTCCCTTCTAAAGTTCCTCCCAGATCTCACATCCTTTGTCCCAAAGACGTTCATTATATCATCTTCCACTCAATTGTCAGCCCTGTGCAATATGGCTTCCAATGCCTCCAAAGGACTCAAATGGCTCTGTCCAAGGTCCCCAATATCTCCTAACTGCTAAATGCAATCTCCCTTTTTTTTTTCATCCTGTTACCTGCCATTGCTTCTATCTTCTGTAGGTCTTTTGTCCCCCTAAATTTCAATCTCTTTTTTTCATTCCTCGTGCTACCTTATCTCTGTTACTGTTTCATGCAGTTAACCACCCCTCCCTCCCCCTGGATATTCATGCCAAATGCAGATTGGTTGAAGCAACTAGGGTCTTTGTGGGAGGGGGGAATATAATGGCTGTCTTCAGGCAGGACTGTTATGGGAAGGCAACGTAATGCTATGAAAGTTGGAATCAGAGGACTTGGGTTTGAATTTTGGCATTGCCATTTACTAATTCTGTGGCTACGAGAAAGTCACTGGATCCCAAATGAAATGATTAAATGATGTATTTGCAAACATTAAAGCATAATCTAAATGTTAGGTGTGATGATGATGATGATGATTAAACTTTCTGGGTCTCAGTTTCCTCATTTGAAAAAATCAGGGGGTCAGACTAGATGACCTCAAAGGTCCCTCTAGTCCTAAATTCCATGAGTTTCTGTGAAAGAGGGATTTGACTTTTTCTGCTTGGTCTCACAAGAAAGAATTAGGAGCAAGAGAGTAGAAGACACAGAAGGGTAAATTTTGGCCCAACATCAGGAAAAAATTAGACTTTAAACTTTTCCAAAGGGAATGGGCCACCAAGAAAGTAATGGGCTCCCATCAATAATAGTCTTCAAGCAAAGGCTGGAGGACCCTGTGCCTAGGGGGAGCCATAGTGGACAGAGTGCTGGGCCTCGAGTCAGGAAGATTCACCTTCCTGAGTTCAAATCTGGCCTCAGACACTTACTAACTGTGTGACCCTGGGCAAGTCACTTAATCCTGTTTGCCTCAGTTTCCTCATCTATAAAATGAACTGGAGAAGGAAATGGCGAACCATTCCAGTATCTTTGCCAAGAAAACCCCCAACAGGTCAGGAAGAGTTGAACACAACTGAAATAACTGAACAACAATGACATTATAAGAGGATTCTCATTCACATATGGTTTGAACTAGATGGTGTCCAAGGTCCCTTCCAACTCTGAGAGTCTGTATGATTCTACGCTATAAGCTACAAGGAAATATCAAAGGTTCTTGAGCTGGGAAAATCAGTCTTTCACGGGATTACAGCTACAGAGTGAGAAGGACTGTTAAAAGCTATCTGGTCCTCATTTTACAGATGAAGAAACTGAGGCCGAGAGAAACAAAGTGATTAGTCTAAGATCACACAGGTAATATGTGCTGTGCTGCCTCCAATCAATCAAATAATTTCTTAAGTACCTACTATGTGCCTAGCCCTCTGCTCTGTCCTCAAAGAAGTTTAAAGTGAATTGGGGAAAATCATACATATACATATAAGTATAAATGACTTGAAGAAGGCTGTAGAGAGGCAGCCAGGTAGCAAAGTAGTTCAAGCACTGGCCGTGGAGGCAAAAAGACCAGCTGTGGAACCCTGGGCAAGTCACTTCACCTCTGCTGCCTCAGTTTCCTCATCTGTCAAATGGCAATAATCACAGCACTTACCTTTCAGTGTTGTTGTGAGGCTCAAATGAGATCATATTTACAAAGCATTTTGCTAACCTTAAAACATTAGATAAATATTAGCTATTATTATTATTATTATTATTATTATTATGAAAGCAATATCCAGTAAGAATTGGGGTAGGAGAAGCTGGCTTGCCAAGGACTTGGTATATAAGCTGCCATCTTGCTCTTATATTTGGGGCAAAGAGGTTATTGCTCCAGGAAAGGGATATTACCTGCACAAGACGGGAGCCTGCTGGCGACGAGTCAAACCTTGGAACAAAGACCCTCTGCCAGCCTCCCTGTCCTCTCACTTCTCAATGCCTCTGCCTGTTCCCCAAGCTCCTCCCTCTCCCCTAAACTTGTAGAATCCTCTAACATTCCAGAAAAACTGTAAACAATGGCCTTGCCAACTAAATGCCTCTCTCCCTTGGGGAATCTACAAAGCATCCTGGGCAGACAGATGCTAGCCCATCCCTATGGGATGTCCTGCAGGTCTCAGAGACAGACTGACCCAAGGACTGCCTCACAAAGGCTTGGTTTCTTTGGAGCAAATGAGACACGAAAGGAGACAAGAGCCAATAAGATATGAGTCAAGAGGCTGGGGCCGGGATGCTTGCTGTAGAGACAGGCCTACGGCTCTGACTGCTGTGATGAACACCAGGACCATGCCTTCCCTTCTTCTTCCTGTTCTTGTCTCCTCACATTAGAACATCGTGTTCCCTCCAATCTGCTTCCATACGGAGGGGCCAGAGAGAGGTCTCCCGGGATGTCAGCAAGGACAGACTTAGAGGGAGCTCACCAGATTGCTCTTGGCTCAGAAAAAGCTTTTAGTTAGGTTCTCTATTAACAGACCCCTTTCCACATGGCATAACTGAGGGGAATGTCAGGATTTCACTTACTCTGAAGGGACTGTAGGACCACAGCGTGCTATTCTCTAGCACTTTGGGATGACAAAGTCCTTCACGTGGCTTATCTCATTTGATTTCCCTGTGAGGTAGGCATTTACAGATAAAGAAACTGAGGCTCAGAACAGTTCAGTGAGTTGCCCATTTTATAGATAAAACTGAGGCTTGGAGGTGTTAAAGTGCTTGCCTGGGTCATAGGCTTGGTAAGTAGCGCCAGAGGGATGTGCACGCAGGCCTTCCTAACTCCCAGGCCAGGACACTGGCCATGATCACATGTTGCGTGCAACCTTGCAACATCGCCTCGACCAACAGCATTTCACAATAGTGGATATCATTAATACGTTGGTTTTAATGGATTCTTGTGGTTAATGCGATGGTAACATCTGAGGGACACATCGTTGAGTTGGAGAAGACCTCAGTGACCAGCATGGCCAGCCACACTTGGACGGAATCCCCACTACACCATACTTGAGGAGTAATTATCAAGGTTTTGCTTGAAGACCTCCACAAAAGGTCCTCCTGATGGTACAGACCCCTCAGGAACATCTCTTGATGTTTTCCTGACATGAAGCCTATAGTGCCCTGGCACCCCTGGTCTGGGCTTCCAGGGCTAATCCCACATCCACCTGACAGCCCTTTCAACACCTGCAGACAGCCTTGCTTCCTCCCACCTTCTCTCCTGGCTAAGCTCCTCCTTCAGACGATCCCAAAAGACATCATCTCCTGTCTCTTCACCACCTAGGTTGCCTTGCTCTGAATGCTGTCCAGATAATCAACATCCTTCCTAAACTGTGGTGCCCACAACACAACACACAGTGCTACAGAGAAGGTCTGACCAGGGCAGAGGACAGGGGGACCTCCCTAGTCCTGGAGTCTGCACCTCTCTTCACGCAACTCAAGAATGCATTAGTACTTTCAGCTGCCACAACACACTGTTGACTCATAGTGAGGCTAAAATCCAGTAGGCAGCCTTTCTTCTAACCAGACCTCTCCCATCTGGAACTGGGGGAATTGATTTTTTGAACCCAAATATAAGACTTTACATTTATTCCTATTCAATTTCATGTTCTTAGATTTGGTCCAAGGCTCCGGCCAAGACCTTTTTGCATTCTGAGCCTGTCATCCAGTACATATCTTGTATCTATTTACATACAGTCTTCCCTACTAGAACATACATTTCTTGAGGCTGGCTTTTTTTTCATCCCCACAGCTTTACCTAGTGCCTGGGCATATAATAACATCATTGTCATGATGACAATAATAATAATAATAACAAC